TGATGCGAGCAAAGAAACAAAGCGCAATTGGATATCATAGGGTTGCCTAGTGTCTGTTGAATACACGTCCTTCAAACAAACATGTTTAATCCTGTGATACTCTGTATGTGCCTTTCCTTAATCAGGAGTCTGTAATTCAGCAATTGACGTTCTTTGTTGTCTGGCATATTTGTGTTACGTGTATTGTTTTGTCATAAATCAGGCCTTAGGTTTTCTCGTTTGAATGTTTCTCACTTTGTCATGTCAAGGCAACTTATAGCGGACTAAACGGTATGTGTTTTACTCAAGTTGTCAGTCAAAGGAAACCATTTTGAACTAAGTCAGATAATATGTTCCGATGTTTTTTATGTGTTTATAACGTTAATGGTGTATATTTATTTAAATGTGATACGACATAGCGATTACTTTGTTAACCTTCTTAGTAATAATCGATTTCAATTCTAGCAGGCGACTGATGTTTTAAATTCTCGATCAATTACGTAGAGAAAAACCCTGATGTAGGTACTTTTAGAAATGAAAGCTAAATATGAAATTAGAAATATTTAATGTGAATGAGAAAACTATCAAAAAAGACCAAGGACACAGATGTGAAAACTACAGGTCACTGTTTGATCATGTCTACAATAAGTTATACCCATACCATGTAGTATTCAATACCAGGTCCCGGCATGACAAAATACGACAAAAAAAAAGCACGGAATGCACCAAAGGGGCAAACAAAATGCCTAGTCGAAAAATTAACCGAAAAGAACATGGCGATGAAAACTAAAAAATAAATTGATAAAAAGACCATCAACATTCTTCAAAACTAAACAAAATGGACACCACGAACTCCACCGAAAACCCTGGGTTATCTCCGATGCTTTGAATGTTAAGTGAATCCTGATCCACATATACACCCTTCGTATAGCTCATAAAACAACTTAAAAGAGGAACCCAACGGTCAGATTTATATGACAACAACAAATGTAAAGGAAAATATATATGACAGATAGCAACTAACGACATGTTTGTGAGCTCTGACTCAACAACCCACACGTTTGGGAGATTTCGCTCATGTAATATCGACGTTGTCCATTCGGAACATTGTTTTAAGCATGGTAGAATTCATAATTACCATGCTAACGACACCGGTACCTGCTTCTGCAATTTTATCCTTTATTAAGTAAGGTTAAGACTCCAATTGTAGATAATAATAAAAAACGAAACAGTCGAGAGCATGTAACCTAAATAAACAAACAGAGCATGAAGACCCACCAATGGTGAAGTTTGAGATAGGAAGTTGGAACTTAAGCCTAAGTGCAATTACGTAATTTATGAACTTGCTATTTATAGACAGTTAAAAATAATAATCGGGAACGCTTTCTTGAACGCGCTTCATCCGGTTTGTTTGAAACTAAAAGTTTGAAAGTTAAATTTGTAAAATTGAAAAGCCTTTTAAACTTAGATGATCCTGAATAAAAGAGCGAAAACCGACTAAGATTAACGTTGAGTAACGGAGTTGCAACGTTAGTAAAAACTTGCAACCAATTGCCTAATGTTTAATTAAAAATTTGAACAATCAAAGTTTTTTTTTTTCAATTCATAATCCAGTCACGAAATAAGGAAGCTTTAATATGAAAGAAATATTTTTAAAGGTACAGTTAAAGTCTTTTTATGGACACATGTTAAACATTTATTTCTCATGAATTTCAAAGTAGTTCGATTTTTTTAATAACACGTCTTTCCCTCATAAACTTTTTTATATTACCGACTTTTGACTGCGGAGTATATAATTTTTCGCAAGGATACGTACTATGTGATAAACTTTCTGGTACTCGGTACTTTTTTGTGTTGTTCTTACTTGACCGAGTACCAGAATGTCCTACCACAGAGTAAGTAATCTGTCAAAAGTTATATGGTCAAGAGTCTAAAGTTGGAAATATGCAAATAGGATATTGAGACGTTCGTGCTTATTGTCATGTTTCAAATTTCTGTGGAAAAGACTGGAACTATTTGTCATGAGAAATACTTTTTTCACGATTGATACCAGTTTTTTTCTTTCACAAAACCGCGCAATTTTATACCTCTATATATAGTTTATAATCCTAACGCGAGAGAAATAACATAAAAAATGACAAACAAAGCATCACTTCATAATGAGGGTTAGGATGGGGTGTACAGAATAGAGAAAAAATTAAGGAAACGAAAAATAGAAAAAAAATAGAGTAAATGGGCTAAAACATCAATGGATAGAAATTAAATAATGAGGTGCTAAAGTACAAAGAATGGAGAATAATTGACAAAAAACTAAAGAAAAAAGAATAGAGACAATTTGTCCAAAAATTAAAGAATGCAAAAATTAAGACTCAACACCCCTACACAAGTCCAGAACCTCAATTAAGTTCAACTCATGTTATTTATAAAACTAAAAGTGCAAATTAACATGTATGTGAAGTTAGCGGCCGAATCGTTATTCGTTATTCGATATTCAATATCCAACTGACTGCCAGCAGCCGGTTTGATATTCAAAATTTCTCAGTAAAATAATAAAAACGGGATACGTTTTAAAAAGTTCTTGAAACGATATGAAGAAATGAAACGATAGAAATCTTTTTCAGACAGAAAACATAAATTTTCGTTGATGACCACGCGACCTTTTCCATATGTACGGGGGAACTTCAGGTGTCACTTTACTAGATTCAGATTCAGATTCAATATTTTATTATAGTCTCACCACATACAAACATATATAAAAACAAGATTCACAGAATAACACAATAACACAATAAACATTTGCAATGTATGCACCAATCTTAAAAAGATTTATGAGAGATTTTTAAGACACAATATACACATATATACACTTTTACACATTTACATTTGAAATTTACAATGTCCATTTATACTACATGAATGTAAAACATTTTAGTTTCTTTTAAAACTAGTGAAATAAAATACTGTTTATTCTCCATAAAATCTTGTTGCCGGTTTTGGCAACTACAGTAGCAACATTCTCATTATTAAATAGAAATATACCTTTTTCACTATCTGGTAGTAGGTTAAAACTTTCATTAAAACGTATAGCTTCGTGTATCATGATTTGTCTTAAATCTACATATAACGGGCATTTTAAAATGACATGCAGTTCATCTTCAATAATAAAGCTGCAGTTAAAACATGTCCTCTCGTGAACTTCCTTTCTTTCATAACTTTTAGTTTCGATTTTTAGGGGAGCTACCCCACATCTAAATCGTGCAAAAGCACTTATGTGTTTAATTGACAGAATATTTTTCAAATAAATTTCAGTACAATAATTTTTTGTAAATAATGTGTAAGTCCTCAATTTACTTCCATCTGCATAAGCAGCAACTCTTGTACTCTTATTAAGGTGGTACCTAACACTACAGGGAGATAACTCTGTAAAAATCAACTAAACGTTTTAATTACGTTGTATTGTTAAGGAAATATTAAGCTTCTCAATGATCAAAATTAGTGTTTGTCAAACTGCTATATAACCAACGAAATTTTTCTGATAAAGTGGTTGGTTCAAATTTTTTGAAATTTTTATATTTTTGTCAAAGGGTCAAAGTAAACATTTTGTCAAAATTTTATGAAAATTAAACGAGCCAAATTAATATTAGTCAAGGTGTTGGGTACCACCTTAAATACATCTTCCTCAATTTGTTTAATACTATTTTTGTTCAAACATTTAACTCAAAATTACGATATTGCTCATTATCTCACCTCTTTTGCATTTCTAGGAATATATATTGGTTAAAAGCAACCGTGTGGAGACCGTGTATAGTTCATATATATTTCAATACACGGTTATAGTGGTGTTACGTCCCTTTGTAAAAACAACACGGCGTTGGGGAAAAATCTGAAAGTTTTCAACAGAGGAAGAAATTGATGATGAACGATTAAAATAAATGCAGAAAACACATTAAAAGCTAATAAGTTGTTATTGTTGGCATTTGTTTTTGTATAGACCAATAGAAGTAGGTTCTTGATCACTTTGATAGACCACTAGTCTAAATGCCACATGTTAAGATAGTCGGTAAGATAAATTCGGTACATAGTGTGCTAGTGACCTAATATATATATAGTAGATATATGGGGTCAGTAAATTTCATATGGGGTTCGAGATTTTCAAAATCTCTCTGACTATCATGAATGAACGAGATTCAACAGAAAAGACCGGATGCGTCAGATATATTGCAACCGATTACCGGGGACCGCTTAGATGACTACGATACCTTCCTGATCTTTCAATTTCTATACAATTTAGGTTGCAGTTTTGGCTAGCCATATATATTAATACTATCAAAAGGATACTTCATTATAAGACTTTTGCAAAATATTTTGAATATCAAACTGGTACTTTAAGTCCTCCGTAGATATCGAAAAGACAAAGTTTCAAAAATATCCTTTTTGTGTGGAGGGGGATTTTCATAGGATATATCTATTTATATTTTCACATGTCACTAGAGTATCCGTTCGGTTTTGCATATTGGAAATAACATGTTTTAAAAAAGTTCATTTACCATTGCGTTTTGTTGAAAAAATCTAGAAATTTTAAAAACGAAAATTGTGATTTGCTCAAAGGTTTATCTCTTTTAACTCCTTTTAAATGTGATTGTCATTTTTTATTTTATCGAAAATCAACTTGTTTATCAATTTAAGTGAGACAATATGATTATCGAACCGACTGTAGCAGTCGATTGGATATTGAATGTCGAATAGCGAACAAGCCGCTAATTTCACATACACCAAATTAACCAACAGAAAATATATTGTTCTTGTGTTTCGAGCGAAAAATATCCTTTTTACAAAATCATATAAGAAATAAATACCTTTATAGTATGGCGATTTAATGAATAAGTATGCAATAATTATGTAAATATCTGTTACAATAGCCATAAGTAGGATTAACCTTCTCGTAGATTGAAATATTTTATTAGAATTGATATAATATTATATATATATTATATTTTCTCCCTCATTAATTCAGAGGATATGATGCACTAGACCTGACCAGATATGGCTAGATATTTATTTATATTTTTCGTATTTGGCGTTTGGAAATCAATTGTGGTAAGCAAATACATTACACTTGTTAATTCAGGGACTTTAATAACTTACTAAGCTGTATGGGTTTAATTTTTCTCACTGTTGAAGGTCGTACTTTGACCTTTAATTGTTAATTTCTATGATAATTGGTTCTGGTGAAGAGTTGTCTCATTGGCAATTCTTCCACATTTTCTATTTTTTTTTAAATTATGATTTCAATACCACGGGTACAATGTACAAGAGTAAAGGAACGAAGTGAAAGTAGTTCATTGTTTTGAAATTCGAAAGATTTTCAAGTAAATTCGTTATCAAGAAATTTTATATTGGTACCAATAACTTTTTTTGGGAGAATATTTCTTCTACTAATTCTGTATATAAAGAAAATCTGAAGACCCTGTGTGCATGCGTATCCATATGCCACGTATTTGATTGAATGACTAGTGTTTGCCTAGCGTCTAGTGACAAATATTACATTTATATTCAAGGCAAGAACATATTATATTAAATAGTGAGTCTTTAATGTGTGTCGATCAAGATCAGAGGCGGGAAAATTTGAGCGCAACTTTAAATTGAGGGCTTGTTAAACAGGGGCAGCAATTTCGGTATGCGGTAGGCAATATACGCAACCAGAGACATATATATGTCTCTGACGCAACCCTTAAAGATTTGTTGAAATGGTTCTTTAACATGCAGAAAGCGTTACACTCTCCATACACTCTCCATCGATTTAACCGACCTGACGTGGCTGCGTATTTACACATCCTGAACAGTCAATCATACGCTTGTTGGAAAGTTGTTCCCCACCTTTCGGAGAAACTGGGATCAAATGTTAAACCATGGGGTACCCACGGGGGAGATGGGCTAATTCGATGTTGTTTTGCCGATTTGATAAAGATTTGAATTGATAACAAGTTTATGATATTGATGCAATGTATATCTGTTTAAAACGTAAAGCCTTTTATTTTCTTTCTTTCAGGCAACAACCCCATATAAAGTCCCCCGATGTCCTGAGATACAAACTTACAAATGTTCAGCTTTATTTACGAATAAATGTGGCCATTTGAATTATTGTCCGAAAGGTAAGCGAACTGGACATACATGTTCATACATTCTACAAATGATCATCGTTTGTTTTCCTTAAGGATGTTCGCTACTCTTGTTTTGAATTTTTGCCAGATATTCAAAATCCTCTGGTTTTATCCATGAAGTGCCATTAAAACATTTTGCCCGCAAACCCCTAATTTTCTTTTCATATTTTTATTACATATAGGTTGAAAGCCATATTTGAAAATCGTATAAAACTTGCTATTTTTTCATAGTTTTTGAAAGAAAAAAGGCGCCAATGTTACATGTATGAAAAGTCTAGAGAGAATCATTTCCCGCCAAATTTTCAATGACTTATATCTTAGAAACAAGAACACGCACCCTTATGTTTTTTTTAGCTTTTCAAATTCCTTTATTTATATACTATCAATTCATAATAGTGTATTAAAAAGTTTATTATTTTGAAACCGAGTAGCGAGCATCCTTGAATTACAGTTTCAAATGAATTGTATTAAACATTTACTCAAAATTCACATGTACTTAGTATAAACTACTTTGAAATATTTATTCGTCTTCTAATATTTTTTCAACCCATTTGATGTTTTTCTTATTAAAATTTACCCGTTTTATTTGTGTCTATAAGTATTGAATATGTTGGTAAAAACCGATCATAAAAAATTATAAAAGTAATATATGAATAAATCATTATAAGAAAGGTTTACTCGACGATTATGTTGATTTCAAGCCCGGTCATTGAACTCGACGATTATGTTGATTTTAAGCTCGGTCATTGAACTAACTCATCGAGTTTCGATCAATTGCCAGAATATCAAATTACGTTAAACAACAACCGTAAGTAGCTTATGCAAAGCGTGTTCACACTTTGGTGAGCATAGAAAACACGGATGAAGCAACATAACAGAGCCAAGGAAAATGGTATATTTTGATAGCATTAATTTGTGGGTTTGCAGTATATTTTTCCTGCACACTTAGCTAATCGAACTGAGTGTAAAAAATTCTTATTCAATAAAAACAAAATATATTTGCCTGATATGATATTGTAGTAAATGAGCATTTTAATTTTAAATCTTCGGAACTAAATATGAAATATGGAAAGTTGAACTATGTAATTAATGAATAGATGAGTCATGAGTGCAGGCTAGATCCGTTGCTTGTGTTTGCATCAAAATTAAACTGCCATGCAACAAATTAGAAAAAACCAAGAGTGGAAAAGAGGGACTGGTTGATATATCAATGATAATGAAAAAGTAAAGCCATTTTAGAATATGGTAAAATTGTTTAATTTTGAGAATTATGAAATCTCACCTTCATTTAACGTCCAATAACTTCACCCGAGGACAGCTCAGACAATCGACCAATCAAACAGGAGCCTTCTGAATCAGATTTTGTAATTTTCTTCTTTGGGTGTCTGAAATTCCTCATCTATGATATTTATATCTCAAAGTAAACTTCGCGTGACCATCAACAGAAATTTCAATTTAGGTTTTCAAACATTTTTTCTAGAGGTTATTGATGTGTAAACTTGGACCGATTAACTCACAAAATAAATGAAAGTCTGACAGACTTGTATGTACATTTTGTGAGTCTGTTGCCCAGTTTACACATCAAGAACCTTAGAATTTTTTTTATATTCTAATAGTTTCCAACTAAAATATTGGCTATTTGTCTATCAATTTCACCTTTCTTCAAACCCCTAGGATTTCATTAATTTGTATCGCGTATGAATATATCACAGTGAAATGAACACGTACAGTATTTACACATAGGCTACGAATAGTTCCAGAAACATAGTTTATCGAAGTGTAAACTAACGAACACTATCCGAAAAGACTAATCACATTCAATTATTTATAGATATGCAAATCAATTAAGTATTGTTTAATAATGTTTGTCAACTACAAATTACCAATTTAAAGTTCACGTCTTTTCCAGGTCAAGTTTGCTGTCCATTTGCTTCATCAACAGGATGTGGCAAGATGTGTATTAATATCGGTGCTCCACCGCCGCCACCACCACCACCACCACCACCACCGCCTCCACCTCCACCACCACCACCACATGGGGGTGAGTATGATAATGTCTCTATCTCAGTAAATATAAATGCTTTGAAAATAAAATTCAACTGATAAAAAAATACTGAGTCTTAGATACATGATTTCTTTTATTAGTTGTTATTGGCTTTGCACTAGCTGTAAGTAACTGCCAGTACTATCAGATCTGTGCTTTGTGTCTTTTGTTGTTAGGGATGTATGAATACCCTTCTAAGTGAGGTCTGTGTTTTTGTAAGATGTTTTTTTTTTCTGCTTTGTATCGGAAAAAAAATCAACTGGTCAAAAGTACTGAGTTAGTTCAAAACAACTTGTCGTGTTTGTTCCACGTTATTCTTGTATAAAAGTTTTCTAACGAGAAAGGCACAATAAAATACACTAAAAGTATATCATGATTTATTATGAGGGGCCTGATGGGTTATTTTCGTTCTTCGTGATCGGCGCATTTTCGCTATCGTGATCCGTTTTTCTACAGATTTATTTTTTTTTATATTTTCGTGATCCGTGATCATGGAAATTTATTTTCTGTGAATCGTGATTGACAAAAAAATCAACTCGTGAATCGTGATGAGACCCCCCCCATCAGGCCCCTCTATTATGATGTCCAGTAATTAGGTCAACAATCAAGTTCAATCACATACAATCGATGACATTATTATTACTTATTATTACTTACATTGATTATTTTTACTATCAAACAACAACAAAAATCTAAAAACTGTTATCACTTTTAATTTCATTTACATAACTTGATCTTTTATTTTCCAAACCAGTGAACTCAAGAAGAAAATGAAGATCATCTTCGACTTTAATGATGCATAACTTACAAATAATCTTCTCCACTTGAAGACCTGTATATATGCTTCTTTCTATTTGTTATCTGCATATTAAAAAATTTTTAAAAGGCTTTCAATCCCCCCTTTCATAAATCTTCTGAAAACTCTAAAAAAAGCTTCCACTTGCACTTAATTATATTTCGAAATATTAATAGTCCATAGCCCTTTCAGTATACACATTATTAACAATAATGTGTTATCATGCAGCTTTTCTGCATTGTTAAATACTGATTATATTTTTTTTATATCTATTTGGAACCCCCATATCTCACAGTAATTATTAATTTATCAGTGCATATATGTAAACCATTAGCTGTTTCTGACATTAATTTTAAGTCATCTGCATACAATAAGCAATTCAGCTGTAAAAAATTTAAAATAGCAAGTTTACCTTACTTATGAAAACAGTCAAGCAGATCATTAATAAACAAAATAAATACGGCGGGCTAAAATTATCCCCTGTCGAACCCCTATGTAAAAGGTTAAGTTTTCTTTCATCGAATCTTTGTTTCCCTTTACACAAAGCTCTGTATTATTGTTCATATTCGTTATATTGTCACAAAATAAATCACTGACTCCAGTTGTTCTAAGTGTTTAAACTAGTCTATCATGACTAACAAAATTTATAGAAGAAAATATAAGTAGTAAGGTTTTATAATATGGTTTAAGAAAATAAAAAAAAATGGTGTCATCGAACTTGTTTTCATGCTACAAGTTAAAAAATTGAAATTATTAAAACATTCCGTTATAAAAAAAATAACTGTTTGGGTTATCTCTCCTAAAACGGTTTAGCTTAAAAATTGAAACAAACACAAATATAGTATTTTTTAAAACGATCTACATAATGCAATACATATCTTATTTTTCTTTATGAAAATAAACAGTTTTACTCTTTAATTGCCAATTGTCTCAAAATTTGCAGAATAAAACTAAGAAGTAGACCGATTGCGTACTGTTTTTTTACAATCTGAGATGGCGGTATACAGTAATGTACATTAACTGTAAACTGGGAGAAAAACAAATATTATTCAAGTGAATTCTGCATTTTTGTAAATGAAAAAAAAATGTGCATTTTTGCGCCCGACCCAAGTCAGGAGCCTCTGGCCTTTGTAAGTATTGTATGTTTTTTAAATTTTAGTTTATTTATGTGTTTTGGAGTTTAGTGTGACGTCCATTGTCACTGAACAAGTACACATTTTTGTTTAGGGGCCAGCTAAAGCCCGCCTCCGGATGCGGGATTTTCTCGCTGTGTTGAAGACCCATTGGTGGCCTTCGGCTGTTTTCTTCCCTTTGGTCGGGTTGTTGTCTCTTTGACACATTCCCTTTTCTATTTTCAATTTTATATATAATGTGTAGCTCATGTAATATAATATACTTCAAAAAATAATTGTTGATATTTTGCATTTACATATTTTTCGTATGTTAATTAAATAACATGCGATGTGTACGTCGATTGGACAACAACACAACAAAACAAATGATACAAATATCTGTAAAAATGGACGATTATTTATAAAACATTTAGACGTCTATCTGTCTTTGTTTGGACATCCAATTTAGCGGGCTCTATATTGAGGATTATCCGCGGTAGGTCTTTTCACTACCGAACACCACCGCACACCGACGAAGACGAACACCACCGAACTTATTAAAATACCATCTAACACACCTAAATATATTGTTTTCATCTTTATTTATATATTAGACTTACCTTCTGAACGAGGATGAATATGTTCATACATATATATACACAGATTAATAAGAAATGATAACAAGAGAACCAAAAACGAACAGTCTTGCAGGGCTGTTGTCAGAACAGTACACTTTCAAATCTAACATTTTTTTAAATATAATTTAATATTGTGATAACGTCACATTAAATAAAATGTTTTAACTTATTTGAACAATTTATTTCTAATAATTGAAAAGTAAAGACCATAAGATAATATACAATGAAATACTGACAATGTAAATCCGGAAAAATATTGCTGGATCCGGAAGCGATTCTCAACTTTAACATCAATAATGCACATAAAAATGTGGGAAAAAAAACATGACAATAGGATTAATTTTACGTAATTTAATCGATTTTATTGTTTAATTGTGTAGCATTACTGTTATTCTTAAGGGTTAGTGGTCTTTTTGGGTGTTCGTTGGTGTTCGGCGGTGTGCGGTGGTGTTCCGTGGTGAATAAACCGACCCGGTTATCCGTACTAAATGACCAACAACAATAAATAATATGATATATCATAGGAAAACACTTTCGATGTTCCTGATTTATGACAGACATACAATGTATCAGTATGTGATGGAATTATGTACGTTATAATGGAGTGAAGTTAGTTGCACTTATCATGTTTTTTTTTCTTTTGATCCCAATCTGAATGGACGAATTTGCAACAGATTGCACACAGCAATGTCGATTTGTGAATGTTTTCTCAAATTTTAAACGATTTGGTTTCTTGGAAAGTCCTTAATTTTATTTTCAAATGTATTCATGATGTCCGGTCACCTAAAAAGAGCAAACGTCTCATATATCCCAGTAAACTTGAAGTTGGGAATAATATTGAACCTTAAAGGTTCTATTTTATATTGATCTGTCATTTTGATATTGACACAGATGTTATTTAACAAAATATCTTCAATTTTTCCTGGCAGACACATATCCTTTGTCCCGTCGTATTACGTTGATATAGATCAATTAATACTTTACGCTCATGTATATGTTCACTATACAAACTGTATTAAAAGGATTGTGCTCCTGACAAAAAAAATGGTCGTCTGGAGTAATGAGTAGTAATGAATAAAATCTACACTTTATCGGTTTTATAATCACCATCAGAAATTGGTTATCAAAATAAAGTGTTGAGTTTCAAATCACATTAATCAAAGAATTTCACACCAACCAGCGATTTATCCTTTCTTTGTAAATACAAACAGTGTATTATCTTTGAAAAAGTGCAATTCTAATATTTATAATTACATTTGACTTGTAAGGTACATTCATTTTATGTTTTAAGTTGTTTACCTTTTAACGATAATTATACCGGTACCACGATAGTTTACTTTATAAAATAAATGCAATTTCCAAATATTAATTGTACAAACTAGCTAACAATGAAAGTTCTCTTATAATAGCTGGAATTTCCAAACACCACTCTAATGCCCAAGTAAGAGTATCCAGTTAGCCTGTTTGATTGTGCTTATTTCGATGTCAATAGTTTAGTCTGTCAATATCATTATTTAAATCGGTCAAAACCGTTCCGATAACCAACTAATGATTTTTTTGTTTCGCGATTGGTTTGAGTTTCCAAGGAAATGTGCAGTTACACGACATAAGTAATGATTTGTACTTGCAGGTACACTCACGAAGCGAGTTCCAATTTAATCATTCCTCCGAGAAAGTGGTGTTTGTCTTGAAAATCACCGATTGGATTGCAAAATGCAACTGCATTGGTCCTACATGAACAACAGATTTATGTTCTTACTTTGTAGAAGTAAAGACTTGGAACGGAGTTTACCTTTTTTTCAATCGTTAATATTGTTTCACCTGTTGATATTTTTTTTATGACTTACTTACAAATCGTTTAACACTCCAAAGAACAATTTTCATCTTGTCGTCTAACACAATGTCAGCTATGGTACAATCTATTCTTTCGGCACATTAGCTACACTTCGTGTTTTCGACGACTAATTTTCAAATTAAACAGGTGTATTGACGTTATATTATCATAGCTTTGTTTTACTCGGTCAATGTTGTAATTGTTTGGTGAATAACGTTAAAGTTAGATCCTTATATTTGCATCAGTAGTTAGCCAGGCAATCGTGGGTAGATGGTTTACGTAATTTAGCAACTACAATTCATTTTTAGAAAACTATGTTAACAGATATTGGTGCAATCAATACATGACATAACTTTAATTTAACAAAACGTATAAAGACCTCACTGTCATTTGTGGAGTTTTGATTAGTTTCCCCATTTCTAATGGTGAAAAACAACCATTTGATATGAGGTGCTCTATATTTAGTGCTATTATAAATTATATGAACACAAAATAAATCGCCAGAATTTACCGTCCGAAATTCAGTATTTGAAACAAAAATATAAAGATTTAAGTTCAAGAGAATAAGAAATCATGTTTTTCCATTTTATGTCGTAAAGTTACCAGATACAATACAACTGTTTCATTACATTGATTTATATTCTCATTTGTTTTTAAATGATTCGTTCATTCACTCCTTCAATGTAATTGATGATGAATGCCTTATATTCCTGTTCCGTAAAATTTAAAGAGGCATTAGCTACGAGATATAGAAAAAAAAATAGATATGATTTTGTTTTTTCCAATCATTAATGAAAGTGAAATAGTGAAATACTAAGTCGCTTTTAGCAGTAAGTTTGGTTAAATTTTGTCAAAATAAGCTATAAAACAGCGCTGATGAATTATTCACTCGCAAGCGAATAATTCGACCTGATTAAATCCGTATTCATGTCGCCTTCAATTTAACCTCTTAGCTGGATATGGGTTACGCATGTATTCACCTATTAAAAGGAAAATAATGCCAACATTGAAAGTAAAACAAGGATGAACCATTTGGTTGACTGATTGGATCCACAAAAAATCATTCTTATACAGGTAAAAACGGTGATTAGCATACTTTTTATCATACAATATGAAATCAAACAGACCTTGAAAAATCCAATTACACGTGGTCGCAATCTATTTATATTTATGTTAAATATGTTTGTACCGGGTTTTACGACCATCAGCAGTTATCGGAGGTTGTATCGATGGTCAATTAGATGACGTTTACACAAAAAATACACACGAAATGAATGCTGATAAATTTATCAAGTCCATGTATTGTTAATAACTTTTTAGTAATTTTGATATGCGTATTAGTATGTTATAAATCAAATATGAGAATTTGAGTCAAATCGGTAATCCTGAATTTGACAGCCAATGCTCCTTTAATGTATAGATAATTATTGTAATGAAAAAAAATGAAACATGAAAATACATTCTTGCAATTTCTAAAAAAGCTTTATGAATGTTCAATTAGTTTTGTTGACAATGTTTTCTAAACAAAAAAAAAGTGACTGTTTTGAATCGTCGGCTGAATTTGCGTACGATTTTTTTTTCTAAAACACTGACCACAGATATAGTAATCGAAAATGTTATCCATTGACATGGTTATTGATGTCTACTTTCAATTTTACAATTTTACAAACTTTTTTATGAATCTTCCAATTGTCACTTTTGCATTGTGCTGAACAATATGTCGCTATTTGACACATGCTACATGTCTGTAGTTTTACGTATGTAAACACAAAACAATTGAAGCAGAAATTGATTTTAGGCGGCTTTCTTGCAAACCATGTATTGTACAAAAGCACCAACGCGTGCAACTTTGCAGCATTGAACTGGTACTGTGTCTGTTTCAAATCACCTGTAAGTGGTCTGGTACTCAATCTCGAAGTCATTTGTTCCAAAGACTTTGTCATAAAAAGCCATGACGTCGTCAAATAAAGTAACATTACAGGTGCCACTGAACAGAAATTAAAGGCAATCAAGTTACAACCTACATCAATATGTCTGACATTCGTGGTTTTTGTCACCAATGTTGATAAAGTTGTTTGAGTGTCATAAGCTTCTGTGACCTTCCCGAGCTTCATTTTTATTAAATATTTGAGGAAGAAAAAGAAAGTATTGCAGTCACAAACAGCCCTGTAATGCCAGCGATTAAAGATGTTTGCTCTTTCGTTTCCCTTTAAACTAATGCCAAAATATCTGAACATTTCATATTTCAAAGCATGCGGGGTGATTTTAAGTTCAGACGGTAAGAAACAAATGCACGTCACCACGTCTGAAATTGAAGTATTTAACATATTTTCCACTGTCATTGCTATATCTTTTATTGTAAATCTACAAAAACACAATGATGGTATAATCTTGATATGTTCCTCATCCAATTGGTCTAAACACCATTCACAGTCTTTATACAACTGAATAGCGTACAGTACGGATATAAACTTTAGACGGCCTAATAAACCAGCTTGCATAAAAAATGTAAAAGATCCAAATAAAAGAAAATCACGAACCTGTGGATTTGGATGTTGGATAGCCATTGCTGAAATATTACTAGCCAAACACGTTAAGATATGAGGTATCATTAAGGTAAGAACACTTCTTGTTTCTTCTTCTGTGTGTTCAGTAACCGTTCTGACTTCTTTGATATGTTCAAGTGTATCCCACAGATACTTAATGAAAATATCAGTGTTTCCATTGGATTGATAATAATAATGCTGAAGAATGTTGTGATTAAAAACTTTAAACAAGGATGCGAAACTAGATAGATAATTTTGTTTTAAGGTTTTTTCGTATACGTCCTTACTGTGTGACTGAAGCCGTTTAGACCGTTCAAGAGATTCCCTAGATTGCAAATAGTTGCATATATCATTAGATTTTACGCGGAGAAAACAATTAAATCCCATGTTTAAAACGTGCTCTATTTCGTTTGCTGCTTTTAATCTCCGATTGTTATTCAGTTTTCCATCAAATAAGTTGTCTCCTGGAATAAAGTAGTTTGGGCAATTCCCACATTTTAACCACTTTAACATCTGTTTGAGGCACAGTTTGACACAATAAAAAAGATTTCTTTTTTCCCATACATTTCTGTCATTTTGTTCCATAGCATAAAATAAACAAGTCTTCCAATGGTATGAAGTGAACTCGTTTAATTTGATTACGTCTCGGTTAATCATTTTAAGAACAATGTAACATTTGTATTGAACATCTGTTAGACTAAACATTAGTTTCCGTTCTTGAAGAGAAAAAGATATTCTCCATTCTAAGTCTTTTTCTGGTGAGCAAGGGTGACCTTTTTTGATAACAAAGAACCCAAATGATTTCATCTCTTGAATCGTATCTTCTGTAGGCCATCCGTAACATCTACGTCGGGTAAGCCATTCCGTTGCGATCGTCGGCCATGCTGTGCAACGATAAGATCTAACCAAATCCATTTTCATATTTTCAATGGTTAAAGCAGGCTTATTCTTTCTTCTTGAAAATATACCGTCACGGTATTGTGTCGGCAAATCGAATAAAAGTATTCGCCCATTTTTATCAAGTATGACAATATCTTTTCTTACAAACTGTTGTAAGTACGGCCAATTCATAACTGTTTGTCGTGTGCCTTCTATAACAAGCTGTAGCTTGACGTATCCAACTGGTGTATCTTCTTCAGTAATAACCAATAAAGAAGCCTGGTATTGACTGCTATCTTTTGATATGTCCTCGATGACAGGGAATTTTTCATCACATTCAATATAATCTGCGTCTTGTTCATGACCTGTAAATTTCAAGTATTGTGTTAATACATAAAAAAGTTAAATAACAAAAATACTGAACTCCGAGGAAAATCCAAAACGGAAAGTCCCTAATCAAATGGCAAAATCAAAAGCACAAACACATCAAACTCATGGATAAACAACTGTCATATTCCTGACTTGGTACAGACATTTTCTTATGTAGAAATTGGTAGATTGAACCTGGTTTTATAGCGCTAAACTTTTCTCTTGTATGACAGTCGCATCAAATTCCATTATATCGACAACGATGCGTGAATAAAACAAACAGACATAATAGGTAAACATGTAAAATAGGGGTATGGCAGTCAACACATGAGTATCGTTCCTGGTATGCCAAGTAACCGACTTCCTTAACTGTCAATAAACGATGTCTGCAGACAAAGCATGATTTGCATACCTAGCAGATTGCCTTATTTGAAACCTGGGTTATGTGTTTCTAGCTTCAGTGTTGTTTTTGTCATATTTTATATATGTCTTTCAGATAAAGAGCACAAGTTCAACTTTTAGTATTAAGCAGTATTTTGATGAGACAAATGCATACTTATATCGGTCTAATGGAATTCTTTTTTTCGATGTCAATATACGTTTTGAGTTTAATAAAAACATATAGTAACTGTAGCAAGCTTAGTAATTACAACTGATTCATCATAAAACCATATTATTTAAAAGCTAGTGAGTGCAAAAAGTGCAGCAAAATATGTTAATCCCCCATATCACCCTAGATTATTCTTGGTTTTTGATTTGGTTCATATTGTTCAGTCTTAAATTGTATATGTTATGTTTTGAATACTGTTTATGTCTTTAAATCGTTGTTCGTGTTTTTGCCATGAAATTGTTAGTTTTCTCCGATTGATGAATTTGCAAAGCTATTTGGTGTTTACCGCCTCTCTTAATTACTATTAAATAAAAAAAAACAATCTATATTTTTTTCCTCGTTTTGCTCTCTGTTATTTTTGTGGTTTAACTGAAGTCATCAGAGGCCGTTATGTGTTATTCATTTTTTTATTTTATTTCAAACAGCACACAAGTAAGAAGAAACAATATATTACTTTCTGTCTATTTTTTTTTTATTTTTTATTTTTAAATAAAGGGATAAAATTTGAGGGAATGCCAGCCACTCTAAGAGGGAGCGAGAACAGATGTTTCGACAGAATAAAGGTATCAAGCATTGTATGCATTACCCGCCTTGCGAAAAAGCTCACAAAAAGGTGAAATACACAAAATGATGTATATTGTATATACAGTACCAGTTATTCATCTAACGCATCATTTTACTCATCAGACACAAAGAGTATTTATATCGTGTCATATAATGCTTTACTTTACCGAAAGCTAGCTTAAAATTCTTGTCCGGTTCTTTTGAAAGCATGAAAAGCATGCGGTACTATACATAACATCGGTTTTTGTACTATATAGAAGTATCTTTGCGCAATGACCTACTATACCAACAAAACTTAATAACAACAAATATATTTCAGTAACGATTCAAATACAAACTACCTTATCGATATATCAATAAAATGGAAACGATCTACTTATATTCTTTATCATTAGTATGTAAAACCACATAGAAAGGGTTTTTCCTAAATGTACCGATTTAAAAATCAGTAAAACTTTAATGACGTAATGAGTTAGGTTTTAAAAAAGGATAATTCATTAAACTTGAAATCGCAAGTTGAATCATTTATTTTATCTTTCACCTTTTTAAAATTATCTGTTTATAGGGTTCAACTCCCTCAGGCAATGGTGACCTTAGATGGATGTGGGTATTTTTGGGTAAATTTTTGTTATAAAGCTCTTCAACTGTTCCGGTTTTACACGTCTAATGGACTATCAGTCGCGGAGGGTATCGTCAGCTAAGACGTCAGTACTTCGGTACGACATGATTATTACAAGTCTTTCTAAAATTATCCGTTTATAAATTTTTTAACTATAAAGGCATCCTTGGTGTCAAAAATTCGGCAGTGAGCATTCCTGACGAATCGCTTTTATGCATATGCATTCAGTTAAAATGCTTAAAGCTGACCTTTTGAAAAGTCGAGATTCTCAAATACGTTGGAACGTTAGAGGCAATAAGTCGCAAAAAGGACATAAACAAGATAGCTAAATTCAAGTACAGTCAATTTGTCTGAACCTTATGATGCGTTTCTTAATAATTTCTTAAAATATGATTGTTTGATTTATCATATATATGATTGATTTATTTACACTGATTTTAGATCGATATTTTGTATGTGTATATACCGAAAATATGAATTGTTTACAGACAATATAGTATCGAAATTTGTGATTAATTTATATTGTGAAATATAATTATGTTATTGTATGCACGAAGTTGTCTTTGGTTCAAGATTTACGAAGTCCTTGTTTATGTTTTTTTATTGTATGATATATATGTTTGTCTCTGAGCCTTTCTGGTGAAAGTGACACCAAACACAGTAAAACAGCTACAATCGACATTGAAAATCGTGTTATTGTTGTGGTGAAGTGTCTACTGTAATCTGTTTTTGTGCTTTGCAATAGAGAACAATAATACACACACTATTGCTTCTTTCTAGTTAGACAAGTGTGTGTATTAAGTTGCACTGTGAAATTAAAAAATAAGGTAGCATTCTCTTACAATAACATAAGTGTTACCTGGTGTAATTGAGCCTTCACAAGCACTTCCAAATAAATACATGCTATTTTGGTTTTGGAAAGTCATAAAAATCTCTTGCATTATGTGTGCTCGTTGACAAGACTTCCGAAATTCGTCATTCGCTCCAATGATATCAAGGACGTCAAATAGCCATCTGCTATCATTTTCTTCTTTTGAAACCATTCTTCTTATTTAATCTAAAAGATAAAGATAATTTTGTCTTTCTAAATAGTAAACCAAATCATTCTTTCGATATGATATTAAATAGCATGACGGCTAAAAAATCATATGATCCTATATTTCGAGGAGTAAATAAACAGATAAATTAAAATTAAATTATAATTTCCGATAAATGTAGAAAAGGAGAGAGGCGAAAGACACCAAAAGGACATTCAAACTCCTTAAATAAACTGACAACGCCATGCCTAAAAAAGAAAACACAACATAGAAAAATAAAGACTTAGCAACACGAACCTCCAAAAAAAAACTGGGGTCAAATTTCTTTTCTTCTCATATAAATATGAATGTACACATGGTTGAAATTAGATGAATTATTGACATGCCTTGCATCCCGATGGTAAATCATTAGAAGAAGAAGAATTATCGAACAACTTAGGGTTAAACAATCTGACTTTTATGTTAAAGATAATTCACGAACGAACGTGTAATTACTACAGAGTTTATTAGCTTGGTCAGATTAATGGGACGTAAAAAGATGAGTTTTTTTTATGAAAAAGACTTTAGAAACTATCAGCTAATCCTTTTGAATTATATTCCATACGTCATGGCTATTTTCCCCAAATAAACTGATTCTATTTATCACGCTATAAAAGACAAGTGTAGGCATTACGATACGAGAGTTGGCTACCAAGACCATACATTAGGCTCCCTGTATAAATCTTTTTTTTTCAACGTCAGAAACCTCTGTTTCAAAGTATTTTTGAAACATGTTTTGATTTGTTTGGATCAGGTTTAACCATTAATTTCTGTAATTATAATTGAAATCTGTAAGTGAAATTAAAGGGGAACATCAGAAACGAGGACATTATTATGTAAAAAAAATAGCGAATGTAATCGAGAGACATTTCATTGTTTGATACTTTTATGTGTCTGATGTTAGGTGCTTAACGAATTACACGTTGATTTAAGTAAGGTTATTTTGCCAAATGATTGATGAGGATACTTCATGTATACGTATTTTCAGATTGACATAAAAAATGACCCTTTCATTATGGGAGAGTAGACACATCCTGCTTCACTCGTAGAAACCGCCATGAAGCACATGGTTACTTGATAATAACGATCGTCTTAGATTAGGTCATACGGCTGACTATTCAAAAGTATCTGATTCTAAATAATTGATGTTTATGGCGTTTATAAACAAAAAGGATGTTAGTATATTTTCTAGTGTTGGAGGCTGCCCCTTGGAGTAAAAACGTATTGGTTAACTAGTTGACATTGATTGTAAAAAAATAAAAGTGGAGATCAAATGGTTATAAAGCTTGACTATCAAATACAAAGAGTGTTAAAATACTAAACAAAGATATTTAAAATGATATATCTTCCTTTTAAGAAGTTGACAGTCATTTGAATAGAAATGAAAAATACATTTCAACAATTTTCAATAACAATTGTGTACTTTAATCTATTGGACGTGTAACCAAATATTTGATTGTTCAACTTTACTACTACTTTAAGTTCAAATTTGAAATTGTAATAGAGGGGTTTCTGTACCAAATAAAAAATAATATAGTAATAAGTTTATCATGATTGAGACATCTTCGCAATTTTTTGTTCTTCCCTCAGCGGAATTCAAACCCTTGCTTCTGTGACATCGTGGAAACACCGCCTTCACCGTGTTCAGTGCCCTAGATGACTCAACCACCTAGGCTACATTTATAATATAGCTTTCGGTGGTTGATTTTAATGCCTTTTCTCGTCGGATTTATCTAGGGTTGTAACACATTACATGATGCATAGTGGCAAGTAGATATATATATATATATATATATATATATATATTTGTTCAGTCTGGGTGACCAAGTCGTCTAGAGCGCTGGACACAGTACATGTGTTGTTGTTTCGATATCTCAATAGCATGAGTTCGAATCCCGGCGAGGGAAGAACAAAACTTTGCTTTTGCAAATTTGCAGATTAAATATTGTTGTGCTGATATTTAGAATAGTTATGTATATATATATATATATATATATCAAATGCGTTTTGTTAAAATTAACTTTTTCACTATTTTGGTCTTTTGGAAAATGTTGTTTGTGCTGTATTTAGACCCCTCTACGAAGAAATTTCATTTGCTTGATGCACACGTATACAAATAGCGGTTTTTATTTAACGTAATCATAGGTTTGAACGTTTTTTTCAATTTAGACTCCTTTATATTTTTTCGTTTGGGCTTGTATTATATTGCCTTCGGGTTTATATGATCCGTTCATCCTATTTCGACTCTTTCAAAATTCAAGAGTCTATCCTAAATTGAGGTAAATTATATGGCCTTCCAAATACCGTTTCGATTCCTAACATCACTGGAGAGACATTGATTGTCGAAATCCGGATATGGTGTGCACAATTTTGCACCTCATGTTTGCGGTATACCATCTTTTTCGCTAGTTTATTGTTTTCTGTTTGGTAATAAATTAATTACAAACAACATTTTCCAAAAGACCAAAAAAGTGAAAAAGTATATTTTAACAAAACGCATTTGACTAGCAGGTCGAACAACGGATGTTCTTAAACCCTGCTGACTGCCATTGGCGATTGCCAAAATAAACGGATCACTAGATGTAACAAAATGGATCTTAACTATTAATTTAATATCAAAATGAAAACAATAAACTTGCGGAAAAGATGGTATACATATATATATATATATATATATATATATATATATATATATATATACGCATCCTCTGTGGTAATCAGTTCATGTCAAACAGTTTTATTCATTGAGGATGTATGTCTACGCTGTCTCTGTTTTAATAACTTAACTTTCGTCCCCTGTGAAATTTCAAAATTAAACTAGCTCAAATCGCACATTACTTATCATTTTGGATGCAGTCTCTGTTGTAAATACTCAGCCTGCATCAAGTTTCAAAATCTAGAATTATACTAACATGGTTTGGTTCTTAATGTGGACCACTTTCAGGGTTGTTTTAGTAATACCAGAATACATTAATAAGATTCATTTAACATCATACTGATATCTGTTATCCAAAATATTTATTGAGACTTGTATTTACTGTCTGAATCGTGACTGATTCAGAACTTTTAAAGAAAAAGTAAAAAGACAAATAACTACCAAAAGCAATATATGTAGTTTGATATGTAGACTTACTTATGATGCGCTTTTGTTTCCTGTTATAACGTAGTCATGTATACAATATTTTAAATCTCTAACCATTATTTTCATTTGATGAAAAATGAAATAAATACCTTCCTCACTATTTCTGTGTTCCGTTGGCTGACTCATTCGGAAATTCTGTCTCTTGTCGAAATTAAATTACGATTCTGACAGGAGTTACACTTCTATATATCACACAATATTTTAACGATGTCAAATTCCATATTTGGCATTTTGAAATATCATTTTTAATTCCTAAGGTGCAATTTGAAACACTAAACATAAACAGGTCTTGCATGAACAAATTTTAAGTTTATTCCTTAGTATATCAAATGTATTTATATTATTATAAATGAATACCCTGCATGCAAGGTTTCATCTCGTAAGTGTGTACTTAAGTAATTTATAATAGCTTTAAATATAGGCATGATTGTATTTCCACGTCTCCTTATCAATGGTTGATTTCATAATAAAGCATATTTAACGTTTGAGGTTTTTAGTTCTTAAAATTTGTTTAAAAAATTATCTTGTCTTTGATATTAATTAGTCAATAAAAATATGTCTTAACTTTCAAGTTTTTTAAATCATTCATAATTAATTTTTATTGACTTCGAGGTTGAAATTTTATGTTCGATATATTTTGCAAATAGAGAATCGGAAACAGAAACAATTTAAACATGTCAAACATACTGTAGATTCATTATAATTGTTTGGACAGCAATGTTCGTGTATGTCGTCGGTAGACTTCAACCACAAAGTGTAATGTTCAACGAATTACAAATTTTCTCTAGACTTGAATGTAGACTTTGGCAAAACCACGAAATTTGGTACCAAACAGATAAAAATAAATCCAGAGTACATGTATACGTTTGATAAATTATCGAAAACGAATATGTTTATTCTTTTTTTATTTGAAAGAGATTTTTTTTTACAAATCTGATATATTTTCCATCCCGTACATCTAACACGTAATATAAACGGATCTTGCAATTGTTTTTGAAATTTGTGCAATTTGATTGAATCAAGTTTTCAACCCCTGTATATGCTGAGATCCCTGTGAATGTAAGATGATTTTTTTAATATTAATTGAAATTTTTAAATGAAATTATAGGGCAAATAGCGTAACGGGACATCGTGATGTAATAGAAATATAGCGAGTGTTATCAGAAGACATTCACATGATTTGCACTACCAAAATTGTCATTTTAATTTAATTGATTGTTACACTTTTGTATGAGATGAATGAATTTCACGTTGAATTGAATAACATTATTTTACCACATGATGGATAAGGATAGTATTATAAGTTTTCTACGTTCATATCCGTAGATATGGATATTTTAACACCCTGAAGTATCCAAGTACAACCTGAGGCGAAGCCGAAGGGTGTACAGGGTACTGAAGGGTGTTAAAATATCCATATCTACGGATATGAACGTAGATAACGAATTTATCCCCGGTCTTAGTCCAAATCTGTCGATTTTTAGAGAAATTCGACCACAAAGTGTAACGTGAAAGCAACGTTTTTTTTCAATTTCTAAAAATCTTTTATTGAAATTTAGGAATTTGACATAATTTGACATATCTTTTACGGGGTGTAGGGTACTACTTTTGGTAGAACCCTACAGGTAGTCAAATATAAGACGTTTTTAATACGGAGACAGAGAAACTGGAGTGGGTCGAATTTGGACGCTCAATGTTGTGATAGTTACATCATAGACGTTGTGACGTCAACGTGGGTCATTTGCATAGCTAGGTCAGTAGTCCCATTCATAGACAATGTGGCAGCCAAGTGATGCATTTACTAAAATGAGTGCAAATGATCGACAAAATAAGATAACATTGTTAGTGGATTACATATTTAATTACAGACATCATGAATAATCTACAGAAATCTATATTTCACGAGGAACAACCATGGAACTAAGAAACGCGCGTGACGTCCCCCGGAGTAATGGATAGCAACGTCCGGGTATATGGGTTAGCAACACCCAGGGGCTATGGGTTTTGTAACGACGTGCGTTATCCAATCAAAATCCTAGAAATATACTAAGCCGGGGATAACATACTTAAAGATTGACAAAGAAAAAGGTAACGACACTTTCATTAAATCTAAGAAAGCACAGATTGTTTAAGGAAGATTTTTCATATTGCTGTCCCTATACAATCATATTGAAAGACTCCATGGGATTGAGGTTTTTGTGTTTAATTGATGGATGCAAAACTGGATGAACGATATTGCCAATACGTAGATGACATATTATTCCGTCAATAAACTCAATGCAGTGTGGTCTTGTTCAAAATGTGGTAATGTAAGACAATAAAATCTCTAGCATACTGAATCTCAAATGAATTACCAATAGAAACGGATTTGTAGCCTTTGATCATGACAAGACCCTATATACATGTAGCTGTCGAAACACTGGATATATAACTTAAAGAATAGGAACCCCAACAAACATTTTGGATGATATCAGTTGCTCTGGAAGGATAAGCATACCCTGCTCAACTTGTTGCAACCGTCATTTTGCTCATGGGAAATACAAATTTCGGTGATGATTCCACAATTAATAAGAACAAAATTACTCTTGGGTCAATGAATTACTCTTTGGTCAATACTTTTACATAAGACCAAATATAAAACAGTTAGGCTGGACTCATCAGATCGACACAAAGTACAAACCACCAACACAAGTTCTACAGATTAATTTTGTAAGGTTTGAAGGACTTTCCCACTTTTCGAATTGAACTTGGATTTCTCTGTATTTTAGTTATTACTTTTTTTGGAAACGCGAACCCCTTTTATATAAATCACAAATCGCAGCACACAAAACTATTTGACTTTGAAAATCTCTTGTTTAATATCGAAAAAAGTTTCAAATTATTTCATATCTATATTCACATACATTTAAAGGTCATTCATTCTCCGAAGTGTTTCTGTAGATATCAATTTAAAAACTTAGTTAAGATGATAGTATAACGGAATATATTATTAAATGGCATTTATTGAAAAAATAACAAAACAGTTATAAAGCTTGACTATCAAATACAAAGACTTTTCTTGACTATCAAATACAAAGACTTTTCAAATACTAAACAAAGATATTTAAAATCAGATATCATCGTTATAACTATTTGACAAGAGTCATAAAAGGATAGAATTTGAACTATGCATTTCAACAATTTTCAATAGTATCAATTAAATGTATAAATAATCCATTGAAGTTGTAATCAAATGTTTTATGATCCAACCCTACAAAATCCAAAAGGAATATCAGTTTATTTTTTAATAAAATATAGATATGATATATTTATAAGTGCATCACGATGAAAACATTGAAAACGCGTAGTATTAAAAAGCATTTCGAGCGTTTTGTAAGTTTAATACAATAATAAAGGAGCCTTTTGATAATTTATTATTGTTTTCATGATTATATAACAATAGTTGATACAAAGTAACATAAGTGTTAGTTGTTAAACCTAGTCGCGTAATGTTAAAAAGTATGTCAACTGATTGAAATAAAAAATATATATTCTAAAACATAGTTCTTGTATTTTGTACCTAATTACAGTATGACGTCATAAGTCTGCTTTCATGGTTAAACATACACATTAAAAATTTTCAAAGTCGTTTTACGCTTCAATTGTTTGGGAATTTTTGAGGAATTTTTATAATGTCCAAAAAATCACAAATGCCAGTGTCAAGGGGATGGCGCGAATGTGTGTGTAGGCAGGAGTCTATTTTCAGTTTTTATATTGAAATTTGATCTTAAAATAGGGATAATTATGTTATTTTTCTCTTAAATATAAATTGTATATCAAGTTACCCGTTCTCAGAGTTAGGTAGAACATGAAACATTACTTGCTGACGTATAACAAGATAATGAATTCCAAAATATAAACTGATAAATGGAAAGAAAGTTAACCTTCCTTTTTGTTACACCGTCATCCAATGCATATAAAGACAAAAAGACTTAAATGCTTTATGTTACCGTAACTTGAAATCTACGTCCAATTAAATATAAAGTCTAATTTTGAGACAGTGTACACACCATAAATGTAGACACTGTAGCTATGTCAATTTTGGATTGTCATTTTCCTTGTTTCTGTTCTATCTAGACAGTTTCAGAACATAAGCTTTTTTTAATTAAAATACGAGAGAGTGTAACAATTTGTTTAATTTTTTTTTGTTTTTTTTTTGTTTTATTTTATTTGTTTGCTTGTTTGTTTATTTGTTTCTGTATGTGTTTTTTTTTTTGTCTGCAATTTATGTACTGGGAAAGGAGGACTGTACTTAACCGTTTGCACTTTTGAACATCAAATGCACACCTTGAATATTTTGCATTGACCATTTGATAAATTTGAATTAAATCTGTGTATCAAAGCTGAATATGTCTTTGTAATTCATCAGGCTAGGTTTACATTAGATGATTACTGATATGCTTTTTAGATCCTTAGCATTCCATTCTTGACCTGTAATAGGAAAATAGGGAGATGTGGTATGATTGCCAATTAGACAACTATCCACTCAAATGAAGTGGATGTACGAAATTATAGGCAACCATACGGCATACAATAATGAGAAAATGATCGAAGTTTTCTTTTGGTTGTTATTGGTTTAGTTTATTCAGAAAATATGTTTTGAGCAACACTTTTGAAAAAAAACCGACAGTCCAAAATTGAAAGACATCAATATATCGGTTAGTGGATGTCCTATAACAAAAGATTGAATAGATGCTTGACGATTTGTCAATGCTTATTACTCTCGGCAATTCATTTACCTTTTGCAATGTTTACGGTAAATACGGTATTGTGCGGAAATTTAAGAATCCTACAAATGTCTGTTCATTTCAAATTACACTTTGATTATTTTTCTGTACAAAAATGACGGAATCGTTTTACTCAACATATATTAAATCAATAAATTTAGATGTTGCGTTATACTCGGTAACTAATTAATTGTAGATTTAAATGTCTTCTTCCGTGGCAAAAAATACGTCAAACAAGGGCAACTTAAGGGTACTTTAAAGAAAATGACATTGATAAAGACTCCTTTTGACAACATATATATCAATTATAAAGAAGAAAGTTTAAAACATCACGATGAAAGCAGATGTAAAGAACAAACGATGCATATGTTTTTCTGTCATTTATTAAAGCAGGTTAACTAAGCACATTGCAAGTAATTGCCAAATGAAATGCTTAAAAACAACACAAAAGCATTACATAAATAATGTACTCTTTTTATCAACTTCTGATAATTTATCTACATAACTTGCAATGTTATGAAATTTCCTAAATGTTCATTGCGTTTTTCTTAATTTATAATGTAATCAGTTATCAGAAATTACATTTAATCTAAAACCAAAACATATATCTTTGTGAATTTCTTAACAAAGATAAACAAAACAATTGAAATTAGGGTCGTTTCTACTATTTATGATAATATAAGATCTCAGATTTGCAGTTTTGTTATCGATTACATTTTTTAATGAAAATACGAATCTTTACGACCAAAATGTATCCATGAAGAATTGCCAAATTCATCTTTTGGCAATTTTTCATTAGTGAGTTTGAATCTTGGTTTCTCATTATTTTTCGAACGCCTCGATGGTGTCGTGGTAGCGTTTTCGCCTCAAATTCGGAAGGTCGTGTGTTCGACTACCGGTCAGATAAAACCAAAGACTTTAAAATTAGTATGTCCCTGCTAATTACGCGGTATTTATGGTAAGAGCAAAGTCTTGTCGGCTCAGATTCCGTAATAATATGTGCGGGTAAGGTGGCATATCTTCCTGTGGACTGTTGTTACATTGTAAACAAGCATGCAAGTTAAAAATCCAGCTCAGAGTGTTGGCCTAGTACAAAGCAGGGTTTATATCTATATACTTTTGAACTGTTCTCGTGCTTAATATGCAGATCAGTTTGCCGCTGGATGTAAGCAGTCATCTATCATCATCATCATCTTATTGTTTCTTAAATTAAAAACGCTGAATGTTAAACAAGTTTATAATATATTCTTGGCAGTAAAAAAAACGTTCAGTATTAGCTGATGATACTCTTGGGAGCTCATAGTTCAACAGCAGTGGTATCGAACAAATGCAGATACATTCTGTTGATATTGGAAATTACCCTTTAATCAAATCGTGCGTTCGAAATGCTTTCTCAATTTGATTGCAATTGATTCAGTCAATTTTTCAGGTGACATTGTTTATAAAAACGAAAGTTGACAAACTAGACGTAATATCTGAGAGCAAGTTCTTATAAGAAAGTGTTTTAGTTGGAAAGGATGTTAACGTATGGTATACATACAAGTAAGTGTATAACATATTAGACGTATCAATATTAAACTATTTCAACAATCGTGGTGATTCTTTTACAAAGTCTACACAAACGTATGTTAACTTGACATCCCACAGTAAGTTAATCTTAATGAAGTACTGTACCTTCTTGGGTCTTTTTCTGTTAACTAACTGACTATTCCTGCGTTTGTCTTTTTCTGAGGAATCCCCAATGCATCAATTTGTCACACATGATACAACTTGATGGTACACTTTTTAATAAATTGAGCTACCTGTATTAGTTATATCAATAAGTGCATCAACGAAACACGAAGAGTATAAACATGTTCATGTTATTCATCATAAGTCCAAGCCTTTATTCAAATCGTGTTATAAAATTAGTGCGCATTTAAATAACTTTATATTTTCAATCGTAATAAATACGGGCCAGTAATTATGCTCAAAAGAATGTTTGACAGGTATTTAATTTAATTTTGATAATATGAATAGCTTTATTTTGAAAACAGTTGTATCACGTTACAAGGTAGCAAATATAAAATCAGGTTGGGGATTTAAAAACATAAATAGGTACAAGTGATGCAGATTATTGAGTTCCGAAATATTTATTTTGATAAAGTAAGAGGTATGATAAAAGCAAATATGTCGCCAACAAATATAATAGAACATAAATGCCTTTGACAATTTGTTTAAACAATGAGCAGGTTAATAAAATATGAACACTTTAGTTCACAGATATTTTTGACCTCAAATGGTAGTTTTAACATGATTTTGTACAAAATATACATAAACAATAGCTTTACACACAAAACATACCATCTTTGTAGGAAAAGGCTTTAGTGTTGACTTTGGCTTATATTTAACTACTTAGGACAACATGTATAATTAGGAAATGATAATTTGACAGACTTGACGTTCATGCAAACTTGGTGCATACATGTAAAATAGGAAAAACAAATATCATGAAATATCATAAGAGCAATAGAAAAGTAATTCTTAAGTTTAATAAATCAGACAGTGCCTTTACAAAATAAAAGAAAAAAAGAAACAATAACATTATAGAAAGGTAAGTAGGTTATTCTGTACATATGTAGGACACAATTACGAGAATAAATACAAACTAATGCATTACAGACTTCTGCTTTAATATTACGACTTTTTAGATTAAGAATTGAATAGTAAAACAGTGATTTTCTACATAAGAAAATGCCTGTACCAAGTCAGGAATATGACATATTTTTTGTCCATTCGTTTGATGTGTTTGAACTTTTGATTTTGCCATTTGATAAATTACTTTCATTTTAAATATTCCTTGGGGGTTGGTATTTTTGTTATTTTACTTTTTTGTTATTATTCTTCTTTTACAATTCATGGGGTTGTCAGTTTATTTTCGACTTATGAGTTTAAATGTCCCGTTGGTATATTTCCCATCTCTTGTATTATACATATTCGGAACATGCCATCAAACATGCCAACCATAGAAATCAATCAGCACAATCCAACATGCTTAATAATATACGTGTACCGATTCACTGGAATTTCCAAATGATTTTCTGTAGTAATAGTTGTGTCTATTCATAGCAATATATACATGTGGCAAAACGATACATGGAAACTTAATTTGGTTGAATACACGCAAGTTATTGCTATGTAGTAAGAGATGTATTGTAGAGAACTGCATAATGTTTTGGATGATTTTATCGCTTTAAATGAAAAGAGTTATCTTACTTGAATATGTATATTTGGATTGCGAGGCCGTTATTTGCCATTCGTTTGATGTGTTTCATCATTTTATTTCTGCGTTTTGAATTTTTCGTGAAGTTTGGTATTTTTGTAATTTTACTTTTTTTTTATATTGACACGTTGTACAGCCCTTGGATGGTGTAAACTTCCCAAAAAAACGTGTATGGTGTAATGGTGTATGGCATATGGTGCAATGGTAGAAGGTTATGGTGCTATGGTGTATGGTGTTATGGGAATGGTGTAATGGTGTAACGTGCGATCGGGAATGGTGTGAATGAATGGTGTACGACATTTAAAGCTATGCAAAATATTGACAAGAATTTTGTAGTCGCACGCTTTCTTTGAAATTAAATTGCATTATGGTGTAATGTGTAAGGTGTATGGTGCAAAGGTGTAACGTGTATGATGTAATGGCACAGGGTGTATGGTGTAATGGTGTATGGTGAATGGTGTAATGGTGTATGGTGTTAGTGGGAAGTTTACACCATCCAAGGACTGTAATTACATAATCAACAAAACATTACAACATGTATGTATATGTCGTATCAGAAAGTTATACACTCAGGACACATATTTCATTGATGAATTCACCATCATTATTTTCTTTTTTCTTCATCTTTGTTTTTAACTTACTTGGTGGAATATATATGAAAATCACACAAATCGTGTCGTTAAAAGAGTTAAAAATAATGTTGCTGCGTCATTCGAAAAAAAGTTAAATTATGTACATCATCATTTAAGTGACAATCCATGTGGTTTTCATGCTGATGGAGGTACCAGGGTCAAAATGAGCTTTCGGAATTTTATGAAGTATACATAGATTTAAAACACTTTGACGAGTCATTTTGATAGATTTTGCAACAGAAAACCAGAATAATGGTCAGTTTATTTTAGTTTAGATTTTGATAATTTTTATGTCCATTGATTATTGTTATCTCTTTTTGGGGGGAAACTTGAGTGTCTTATTTTTCAATAAAACAACATGTAACTGTAATGTAAAAACATAATGTAGCTTTAAATACTGAATATTTTTCTTTCTTTAGTAAGAAAACCTAAATGAGTGCTAAGAAAATGAATATTGATATATTTAATAAATCACCCAGTGGCTGTGTATTCTTTGGTATGTTTTCTTATGCTCATCTTTTATCTAATAAACATTTCATACATGAATCTTGACAAAGCAATTAAATCAACATCTGTAAATTCAGAGTAAGATGAAACACCAAAACAGTGATATCGATTTTATTACGACAAGTAATCGTAAGTGGTGTATACAATTTCAACAACACATTCATCTTTTTATGAAGTTCCAAGACATACATACAAAATTAGACACGAAGTAAAGATCTGAGTGTATTTGCAGTTACTGATAGCTAGTTCAAAGCCAATAATCATTTATAAACAGATCATACATCTAAGATTTCAAAACCAATCAGCACACATCTAACATCCAATGGGTTAAATGTAAACAACATTAACAGTCAGAGAAAAAATTACATTGTGTAATGACAGGATACAGGTATTTAAATATTGTAGAGCCATTCATGTGCATATGTATATAAAAATTGTATTTAGCTTGATTTAAATCTACCGATAACATAATATATATAAATACCAGTAAAGATGTTCATCGTTTACCGTTAATGTAGATTGACCTTCAGCTGAATGAGTTTGATGGCTGATCAGTGGACGCTCTATCAAATCATTGACAATCATAACGTTTTTTTTTTCGATTGAGTAGTTGTTCAGTCTATGGTCAACCTGTTAATCTGTTGTTACTTACCCTTACAAAACAATTTGAAGAAAAAGGGTACATCATAGTCCTGGATTGAGTGTTACACAAATATGTGAACTATACTAAATTTACAGAAAGAAGATATCCATCCCAAAATTAACTTTAACTCTAAACAAGTGTTTCCATGTTTAGGGTCAGACTTTTCTCATGTAAAAAGTTCAAAATTTCAATTAAAGACGTACCAGTTGTAGGAGAAATGTTATTTCTATTAACCATGTTCACAGTACATTCATTAACTTATTGCGAATAATGCAAGTGGATAGCTATCGCATTAATACAAACTCGAATTTTGAAATCTCACATATGTATATGTATGCAAGAAATTTATACTGAAATCGCAATAACCCATTCTTCAAAAATCAAATAGTAAATGCATGCATTTATTTTTAAGTTTACAGTATCTGAAATGTGATAAAAAAAAAACAACCGAATGGGGAGGGATACATGGTTAGGTTGTAGGTTGTTTGCATACTTTCACAAGAGACAAAAATCACATCGATTATACTCCATTCACATGATTAACATTGTTCGATATATTTATGATGTTATTTGATAAGAAGGAAAATGATATCTTTACTTCAATCTAACTACGTTAACAAGTGAATGGGTTGAAAAGCTATTATTAATACAATGGACCTTATAGCCGTTAAATACTTTTTTAATCTAATTTCAAAGATTATCATGCTAACAAACTTAAAGTGACATATCATATAACAAGGAGATGTTGTTATGATACGTGATGATGACAATAGTAGACTCGTTACACCCGATGTAAATTTTTATTAACCTAAAGTTGTTATCATTTATGAGAGTTGAAATAAGGCGGAAAAGTTAAAAGATAAAATATTTAGCATTACATAAAAACACATTTTCAGTTGCATTTGAATACTGCATTTGCATATTGTTTCGACACGTAAGGTCGCAGTCATAGTCTTTTTTTTATGTGCCTTGATAAATGCTTATACTTCTATATTTGTCTAACATTAAGTACAGTCTTTTAGTTACAATTTATGGAATACTAAATATTCAGATATCATTTCATAAAAAACGTTTTATTGGTAATGGTAGATCTTAAATATGGAATACAAAATTATATGCATTGTCTTAAATTTCAAGCTGGTTATACAAAAAAAACCCTGGTGTTTTGTTCCATTGACCGTTCTTAAATAGATCGATCATCTTGGTTCTTGTGTTATTCATGTTTTTTTTTTCTCATTTTCAATTTCAATGTGCCTGTTCATCAGAATTTTTCGTTTACAAATATCAATATGAACAAAACAATATAAAGCATTAATTACAGAGGAAATAAAGCAAAATCATATGTATTTCGTTCAACGCAGTTATCCTTCAACATTCGTTTGATGTGTTTAAGCTTTTGATTTTGCCATTTGATTAGAGACTTTCTGTTTTGAAATTTCCTCTGAGTTCAATATTTTTGTGATTTTACTTTTTGTTTAGTGAGATATTTTCAATCTATATAAATGCCACAATTTTTGTGTATAATGATAGCTTTTATCCTTATGCGGAATATATCTATCGGTCTGCAAAAACACATTTAGAAAAACATGTCATTTGCAGTGAATATTAGGTTTGTTGCATAATATTACGAAGTATTAAGTAAGTGTTAGCAAGAGTTGTCGTTCTTTGTTGTCATATTCAGGTTTGTTTATTAGCAAATATTAGACGAGTGAGGTTAAAGAAATCTTATAGCATTTCATCTAAACTTGTTTGCAGCCTATCTTGAGTAAAAATATCTAGTTGAAGAAAATAAATCAAAGTCTACCCATTTCCTAACAAGTCATTACGTATTCGTCTATGTGTAATATTA